TATATATTATAGATTGCATACGGGTCTGTAAATTGTGTGCGTTTGTATGTATGTGTTGAAATGGTCTCACAATGTACATTTTCTTTCTTTTGATTTACTAGTTGTTTTGAACGATAATTCTGAACTACATAGGGCATAGCGTTTTGGGGGTTTCTATTTCTTAGGGTTAGGCCCTATAAAAAGTCGTATGGCTATTATTATCAATTATCATTAAAAGAATCATGAGAACATTCACTTTTCTAGTTCGAGTTAACTCATCCTCACACACGTCTCCAATTTTTAGGTGAAAGCTGAACCTATGAGTAGCCTTACGATTACGAGGCTGGTAGCCTAACCACTAAACAACCGACTATGTGTATCGTTACCGTTATTTATAAATTTGTTCCATAAACGAAGGCAAATTCAATGTTATAAGATGCTCTAACAATAAGTTTCTCTTTCCTCCACACAAACACAAACATAATGTTACGTAAATATCTCAATAGAATTATAAGCAAGCCGTCGCGTATTGGGTGTCATGCAGCTGTCACTCAGCAAGTGGACGAATCTTCATCTCACTGAAGGTGACAGAATCTTTCCATCCCGTAACATCACCCCAATTCAAGCCCTTGTCGTACTCTGTACTGCCCCATGCTCCATTGAGGTTCACACGATGGCACGCACTGGAACTGTACCACCAAGCTCCGTGTTTTTCACTGGCGCAGATTTTTGAATGCCCATCGTTGTCACGGTCCTTGGTAGAGAACATACGGCCATTGTGAAAAGCCATTACGTTATCGACATTACCTGAAAATCTGGATATCTGAATTTTGTAGTTTTCAGTTTCTCCGCTCAGCGAAAAGGAGTCGTAGGTGGCGAAGTAGTCTTTTCCTTTAAATTTCATGTCAATCCTCAGCTGGTATCTCTCCTGGTGATGAAAACAAAAGGAAAATTAAAACAACTCTCCTATAGATTCTTGAGGTTTCAACACAAACCAAGCCCAGCTATTGTCTCTAAAACGGAAATAGTTTGGCCTTGTCGCGGACGCTACAGGTTCGAATCCGAGTCCAGTCCGCATGTTTTCAGCCCTCCCAAAGATTTCCTCTCTGCCATGTGTCCTACTGGGGCACCACGTACACGACTTTACAACTATCCAAGTAGAGTAAAAACATAATTGACCAAACACGCAAAAAAACACAAAAGAGAACGTTTGTTTTATTAAGAGTTATGCGGCACTTGCAACACAAAAAGGTCATATAAGTGTCGAAGATTAGAAGAGTCACAAGAGAGAAACAAACAAAAAAAAGGGGGAGAGAAAAAGACGAAACATGCATGATAATGAAGAAGGAGCAAACCAAACCAGAGATGAGCCAACCACCCAAAAAGAAGAGAATGCCAAGTAGAAAAGCATATTCCTGTATCAAACGCAGATTACGGGTAAAAGCACATAGGCTCTGTGCAGGCGACAGTCAATGACTGATAGAGACTAAAAGTAAAAGGCTGAAAAGCTACATGCCCCCCCCCCACCCCCACCCCCAAATCTATCTCAAAAGGTTGAGAAATTAAGAGGTAAATGTACATCCACAACGAAAGTAGTACTGGGGTTTTTTTTTTGTAATACCAATATCGTTTTTATTATTAATATTCAATTATCATTATTATCATTATCATAATTACTATCATTATCATATTCCCATCATGATTACTATTATCATCATTATCATATACTGAACGCCACTAAAAATGCGTTTTCAAAAAGTTATTAAAAAGCCAAATATGCTCTGATCGTCACGATTTTTGAAGACACAAGTGAGTAGTTTTTAGTTTTTAGTCCACACACCCATGCACGATTTTTGCTATTTCCCTGAGTACTATTTATCACAATGCAGTAAACTATGCTTTAGTAAACTGTGTTCATTAGTTGCTATATTATAAAAGAATACAAAATTATTTATCTCGAAGATGACTCGTAGCTCATTCGAAACCAAAGTCCTAGCTTATTTTCGATCAATGTTTTATTTCTTTCATTACAAGACTCCTCCACTTAACGAAACTGATCACAACTTTCGCTTCCGCCTTGTTCATGGTGGAAAATCTGCTTGAGAAGCAGCAATACGGTTAACAATACGGTTAACAATACGGTTAACAATACGGCTAACAATACGGTTAACAATACGGCTAACAATACGGTTAACAATACGGCTAACAATACGGTTAAAATGCTGTGCTTGTATTGTTCTAGACTTATACAAAGATTTTAGCACATTTGAGATGTCAGAAATGGGCAAAGAATAGGACACTCTCGAGTGACCAGCCGTGTTCAAGAGAGGCAGATTTTGCTGTCGCATCTGCGAAATCGTTTTTTGTTTCTCAAAAGTAGCAGCTCAAGGCATGCATGGGACGCATGAAAATGTTTCTTTCATCAGTGTGAGGCGCGGAGCAGTAATAGGTTGTTCATCTCAACAAAACATTGAAAATGTTATAAAATCCATGTGAAAAAGTGTTTTGGTCTGTTTAAATGCTTATGATGGCCATACAATTAATTACTAAGGGTTAGAGATCTTTATTGAGCTTCGATTTGTGTTTATCTGCAAATTTGTCTTTAGGGGGTAGGCCGAGAGAAGGAGGACAATGTACCGAAATCAGTTAATGTGTGTGATCAAAATGTTTCACATTTGTTAGAAATTGAATAAACTTCAAAAACACTTCTTTAAAAATCTGTACTCATTTGATACAAACGAGTACAGACTATGCAAACGAAGAGTTGTGTTTTTAATGGTGTTCAACGTATTATTACTATTAATTTCTATTTCTTCTAGTTACATCATTATTAGTAGTATTGTCAATATCGTTATTATAATTATAATTATTATTATTATTATTATTTCTATTATTATAATTATTATTGTCAATTATGAATATTATTTAATATCCATTACTATTATTATAATGATAACAATAATAGAATTATGATAACAATGAAGATAACGATAACAGCGAGAACATGAAAAACCTCATCAACAACTGATGTTCTGACAGCTCTTCTGACCATTAACACAACCTAAAACTTTTTCTTCTTCCTTCTACCACCACTACTTCCTTTACAAAGGCATAGTATGGGTCTAATGTAACCTACGAATATGTGAAGGTTTTTAACCCCATCCGTACGCCCTGAAGTCATCTTGTACTCCCAGGGTTGTATTCTTCACATTTTAGAATACTTCTAGTACGAAGATCTCTTAGAAACGTTCAGTATTTATTTTAAAAAATCATTTTGACAGACTTATGCAAAGCGTACGGATCAGATTAATGAGTAAATTTCCTCTTTGGAAAGTGGTGGCACAGAGTTCCCCACGTGGAATGGATACGATAGTAAAACACGACGTACGGATAGGGTTCAGGAGCAAGAGTTCTGATTTAACGTCCTTCTCAAATATGACAAAGCCAAGTGGGTCAAGTGCCTAAAAGACGAGTAGTGAAACTGCTGCTTTAAACACCATTGTCAGTAATAATAGTCACAATAACACTGATGATAGTAAACCCATCTAGTATCACGATGGAAGATAAATTATAGCAACAAGGTCATCGATAGCGATAACGGCGACGGCGCACAGTTCTAGCATATTGTGATAAAGTATTGTTCAGAACAAAACAGTAATTACCTTTTTTGTCAGCTGGTGGATTTTCTCCAACCCAAACCAGAAATTGCCGTCGAGGTTGCCGAATCCATTCTTATACTCGGTCCATCCACGGTAAAAGTCCACGTCCGCCGAGGCACGTCTCTGTAGACATAACAGAACATTACACCAGTTTGTGAGACCTGTCATCATAAATTGTAACTATCTGTGGTTCACTCAAGTTCTGAAAACAAAACTGTTCCTGAATACAAAATCATTTTCGGGGGTATAATTTAACTTGTTATACACAGTTCTGAAATGCTATGTAAGGTCAACCCTTCTATATGACTGTGAATGCTGGACAATCACTAAAGACAGTGAAAATAAAATAGATGCAACAGAAAAGTGGTTTCTTAGGAGACTTCTAAGAGTTTCTGGGAAGGAAGAGAAATCAAATGAGGTAGTGCTTGATGAAGCCAACGTGGGACGCTCAACGTTAAAAACAATCAGGAAACGACAAATGCAGTTTTGGGAACACCTGAATAGACATAAGGGTCTTGAACATCTAGCTCTCACTGGCAAAATTAAAGGCAAACGAATAAAGGGTAGGCCCAGAACAACCTTCTTGGGGAACATAAACAAACAGGTATCAGGGAAAGATCGGGGAAACGTAGCTATTTTTAAGAGTATCCGAGCAAAGGAATGAATGGAGAACCATGATCGCCGATGTCTGTCGCAGATCTGGCACTGGATCATGATGATACACACTGACATTGGGTAGGTTGTAAAGATGGTGGGGCTTGCCGCAACCAGTTGCGCAGATTATAATGGACGCGTAAAGACTAAAAAGCTAGTCACACACGCATATAAAAAGACAATGTGAAGATATTATTGTGAATAGATTTTAAAATATTAGGCTGTGAACTTGTAAGTCCCAATATCATGTTTGAAACCAGGAAAATGAAAACACCTGTGCGCCTCTAACGGGCTACATGTATATGGTTTGGACCCTTCGCTTTTACTGTTAAGCAAATCTGCCGATGACTTTTTGGTTGAGCTATACATCCTTCAAGATAAACCATTTTTATGTAGATGTTTGCAAGCCCCCATCGACATAGTTTAGATCATTTAGGAGGCGGGCTTCTGACCCTGCCTGTCAGGGCCAATCCGGTCTGAGAGGGATACAAAACCCCAACAGAAAAACTGATACACCCGATAAAAATTCTTCCTACTCGAGAAACGAACCCAGGTCTAATGTGTGCGTTAGCGAGTGTCTAACCGCTACATCACAGACGCTGGTATGATGAACCATTCAAGGTTAAAATATATCTCTTTTACTTTCCAACCATCTACTGTCCCAGATTTGATAACCTCGAGAAAACTATTAACAACTTCTTCAATGTTGCGCGGATCTGCTCCAAATTTGAGAGGAATTAAGTTTGATCATCCGGACATCCTAATCTATGCTTAAATTTGAATTAGTCAGACTATCACTACTGCATCAGCCATTTCTTGGAGTAACCCAGAAAAAAAGCTTTTTCACATTAGAATGAGGGAAATGGGGAAACAGTTCTCGTGTCGGTCGCGACAACACCAATGAAGTCTGCTTGAGAGCATAGCATTGAGCTAGGCCTACGAAAGTCCCGCAATTACAGAATCTTAATTTTAAAGCATGATTTGAAAATGAAGCCATATCACATTTCAGTCTATCTAGGAATAACTCACGACTATGTTCTGGAGAGGAAAACAATGAAAACATTGGTTGTTAAGACAAGTGAGACGGAGTGAGAATTTTCTACGGCCAAACGATGAAGCTCATTTCTAATTACTGGAAATACTCATTCCAGGAATTCTGTGAACTGGGCTACAGAAGACCAGATGATGTGAATGAGAAAGACTTGCACGATAAAGAAGTAACATCATGGGTAGCTCTAAGCTCGCAAGTGGGTGGTTGGCGGGTGCTCTGGTGTGGTTTGCTTCTTCTTTCCTATCAAACATCTATCGTCCTTATTGAGCTAGGAATAACTCACGACTATGTTCTTCTTTTTTATGTTTTTTACTCGCTTGAAACACCTCTAATCTTCTGGCACTCATATGACCTTATGCAGTTGCGAGCGCCATAAAACCTCTACTAAAACAATAAGCTTGCAAGGTGTCATATGTCCAATTTGGTTCTGTGATAAAGACGGAGCAACATGCATTGTCACTGCAGATTTGTTATTTGAATGTGTTGAATCGGTTCTGGGGCCCCATGTGGTGGTTCTGCGGTTATGAGGCAAGAGATCGACAACGGTCGATGTAGGGTTGGGAAACCCCTCACACTGCAAAATGTGTTTTGACTTTTTTCCTTTTTATTTTTGTTTTACTTTGGGGTTAACTCAAAGATCAACTCAACATCGCAGCAGTATGAGAACGCTGCATATTTCTTTGTTAGAATGCAGAATGTTTGCGCGTCATGGTGGCCATATGGAGCATCTTTTGCTCCGTATATCAGAAAGATAAAGATAATAATAATAATAATAATAATAATAATAATAATAATAATAAATGACATTTATACAGCGCTCAACCCCGCTTCAAGTACACAGACTCTGGGCGATTTACAATACAGTACAACGTACAACAGTAACATAAAACGTTGTGTTCTGGCTAAAAGAAAATCACTTCACATATTCATCTTATTAATATAAAAACAGAAACGACTTCAGCTGACATTTGAATGAATCAAAAGATTTGATATCTCTTAAAGCACTTGGTAAAGCATTCCAGATCTTGGGGGCCTTGGTATTCAAAAACCCTTTCACCCATTGTTTTAAGTTTCATAGATGGTAAATAACTTTCTTTTTGTCAGCTGATGACCTTAAACTGCGAGTTGGAATGTACAGTCTTAATAGATTTGATAAATATGATGGTGCATTATTATTCAAACATTTGTGACATAGGGTGGCCAACTTGTACACAATCCTTTTCTCAACAGGAAGCCAATGCAATGTCCGAAAAAGAGGTTTAGCAGAGTCTCGCTTTCTTTTCCGTAAAACTAAACGTGCAGCATTGTTTTGGACAGTTTGAAATCTTTTCACTTTCTCCCGTGATATTCCTGATAACAAAGATGAACTCACCTGTATTGTTACGGCTTTTACAGAAAGATAAAGATAACTTCACCTGTATAGTATCGGCCTATATATCAGTAAGGTAAAGATAACTTTACCTGTATTGTAGCGGCCTATACAACAGTAAGAAAATGATGAACTCACCTGTATTGTAGCGGCCTATACAACAGTAAGAAAATGATGAACTCACCTGTATTGTATCGGCCTATACAACAGTAAGAAAATGATGAACTCACCTGTATTGTAGCGGCCTATACAACAGTAAGAAAATGATGAACTCACCTGTATTGTATCGGCCTATACAACAGTAAGAAAATGATGAACTCACCTGTATTGTATCGGCCTATACAACAGTAAGAAAATGATGAACTCACCTGTATTGTATCGGCCTATACAACATAAGAAAATGATGAACTCACCTGGATCACGATCCAGCCACCGTTGTCGGTAACGGTGTCGCAGACAACTCTCAGTCCGTTATTGAGAAAGACCACAGGTCGGACGCCTAAACCTTCGACATCAGCGCATGACTGTGGCTGAAGAGAAATCCACAGAGAATAAATTTGAACGGCCAAGTCTGCTGACATCCCATGTGCCTCTATTTTAATCATTGTTCTAGCTCGCTGTCCGTTTGCTTTTCTTGGTCGTTTTCCATTTGAATCTGTCCGTGTTTTCTCCTTTGATTGTTTCGTAGCAGTAATTATCCGGGGTCTGCTTGCTAGGCCAGTCACGGTTTCACCAGAGCCCCTTACTTTAGCCAGCAACGTTTCGGGGTGACCCGGGTCGGCCTTCACGGCTAGCGTAACGCCTCAGTGACATAAAGTCACACCGTACTTCACCCAGACCCAGCTATCCCCTACTTTGTCCTGTTTGAACCACCACACCCAGGAAAGTGAAGTTGGTTTGACTACTGCTTGACGTCAGGAGCGGGGAGGGAGTGTAAATTTGAGTCTGTCAGGCAGTCGATTTCAAAGTTTATCACTCAATCCATTCTCAAGTTTATAGTCCAGTTCATTTCTCAGTTTTGTTTTGTTGTTTATTTAGTCAATCAAAATTTGATGGCAACAAGGCAAGAGGGCGACCGAGAAAAACCTGGTTAGATGGAGTCAGGGAGACATTTAACCATCTACAGCATTCCCCTGACCCAAGCTCTCCGGCTGGCGACAGAGAGACGTCTCTTTCTTCCCGCGACACCCAAAAGGGTATAAGCAGCGGACATAAATAAAGTAAAAGTAAGTAAGTTTGCTTAGTCAATACACTAGTTTATAAATCAATCACACAATTTCCATTCCACAAGGTCAAAACACTTCCAAACGATTACTGGTCGGGAAATACGAACCTATGTAAGCCTAAAACATTTCTCGCCTAAGTGGTAAATCGGGTTGAAAACCGTGAAACTCTAAGTTGAGTTTCATCAATCCAAAGTGGTAACATCAATTTGAAAGGTATCCTTACAAGTTATTGTCTACAGCAGGTTCTTCCCTCTGCTTTTGAAACAGAGATTGCTAGTTATATGAATCGAAACAGACAGACAGACAGATAGACAGACAGACAGATTGATAAAAAGGAGAGAGAGGGAGAGAGAGAGACAGAGAGAGCGAGAGAGAGAGAGAGAGAGAGAGAGAGAGAGAGAGAGAGAGAGAGGGAGACAGAGAGAGAGAGAGACACAGAGAGAGAGAGAGAGCAAAACAAAGGAAGTGAAATAAATATAGATGGATGCATAGACACATTGAGAGAGAGGGGGGGGTGAGGGTGTGGGAAAAAGCAAGAGGAGAAGCTTAAAGAGTACTGTATCCATAGATAAATCTGTTATTCAACAAAAAAGGGGGGTGTTTTCTTATGCACTTCTGAAGGCTTATTTCCATGTAGATAAGCAAATTCTTAGGTAGAATTTTACTCATCAATATTGATGATCAAACGTTCCTAGAGACTCTCACCCGCAGCTGGCTGACCATCGTGTTCAGTCTTCTCTCAAGAGCCTCCACAGTTGCTGTCATATTTTCTAGGATGTCCTGCTTTTGTTGGAGACACTCTCTCATGTTGTCTTCTAAAGATGTTTGGACTTTTTCCACAATTTGCCTCTGTTGAAGATCTTCTTTCTTCTTCTCCTCAAAGGTGAGGCGCAACACCTGTAATGTGACGTCGTTCTTATATAAGAGTTAGGATATCACACAGTTTCCATTCCAAATTGTCAAAACACTTCTGACCGGTTGATTAACAGACGAGAAATACGAACCGTGTTAGTCTCACGTGGGACAAAGAAAAGAGCCTTAAACATTTCTCTCCCAAGTGGTAAATCAGGTTGAAAATCGTGAAACTCTAAGGTGAGTAGATTCAGTTCAAGGTGGTATCATGTGAAAGGTGTCTTTACAAGTTATTGTCTATGGCAGGTTCTTCACTCTTCTTTTTAAACAGAGATTGCTAGTTACATGAATAGAAACAGACAGACAGACAGACAGACAGACAGACAGACAGACAGACAGACAGACAGATAGACAGACAGACAGACAGACAGACAGACAGACAGACAGACAGACAGACAGATTGACAAAAATGAGAGAGAGGGAGAGAGAGAGAGAGAGAGAGACAAAGAGAGAGAGAGAGAGGGAGAGAGAGAGAGAGAGAGAGAGAGAGAGAGAGAGAGAGAGAGAGAGAGAGAGAGAGAGAGAGAGAGAGTGAAACTAAGGAAGCGAAGCGGATATAGATACATACATAGAAACATTGAGAGGGGGGATGGGTTAGAGAGGCAGAGGGAGGGGGTGAGGGCATGGTCAAAAGCAAGAGGAGAAGCTTAAAGAGTACTGTATCCATAGATAAATCTGTTATTCAAAAAAAGGGGGACGTTTTCTTATGCACTTCTGAAGGCTTATTTCCATGTAGATAAGCAAATTCTTAGGTAGAATTTTACTCATCAATATTGATGATCAAACGTTCCTAGAGACTCTCACCCGCTGCTGACTGTTGGTCGTCGTGTTCAGTTTTCTCTCAAGAGCCTCCACAGTTGCTGTCACATTTTCTAGGATGTCCTGCTTTTGTTGGAGATACTCTCTCTTGTTGTCTTCTAAGGATGTTTGGACTTTTTCCACAATCTGCCTCTGTTGAAGATCTTCTTTCTTCTTCTCCTCAAAGGTGTAGTTCAGGCCCTGTAATGTGACGCCTTTCTTAAGGTTATGAAAATTGATAGAGATTTGTGAAGCGTGATGACAAAATGAGTTACTTCTCTGATTAAAGCATAAGGAAATAGACATATCATGCATATGGGTGAAGTCTTTACAATTTATAAGTATGAAATAATAGGCAGGTTACAGTTAAAGAAATGCATCAATAGAAAATCTACAAATTAGACCCTAATGTCGATTTTTGGCTAATACCTCTATTTCTGGATTGCGAGAAGTAAATCATTTTTGTCAGCACACCTCACATTTCTGTCACACGACCTTCTTCTCAAACGTATAGCTAGCGCCGTCACAACAGTTCGGATTTAGTTGTACTGTCATTGTCGGTCGTCACAGTTAACGATAGCAACATATTATTATCTGTTAACAACAGTTTGGATTTAGTTGTACTGTCATTGTCGGTCGTCACAGTTAACGATAGCAACATATTATTATCTGTTAAAAACAGTGCTAAAACTGGTCACAGCGAATACCTTATAACTCGTGTATGTTCTCGCGACGTTCCACAACATTTTTTTTTTGTTCGTTACAATAGTATTTCTTTTTGGGGCCATTTCAGAAATGTCCGAGGGGGTGTGTAAGTAATTATTGTAGAGTTTATCATTCCTCCCAACAATGTAAGGTAATTAAAGGCAGTACATTCGAAATTAACGTTCATTCCAATTAAAAAGATTGCCATTAAAAAGTACCTCGGTAATTAAATGTTAACTCGTCATTATTTGGGAACAGTTACTTCGAGAAAGATTCTCACCTGTCGCTTCCACTGTTTGACTCAGGACGTGTGAAGTGACCACACTGTTAAGGGCGAAGAACAAAGGCACAGTCGGAAGTTATTGTTCTTGATATGAGCACACTAAGCAATGACAAGACCAAGCATGGCGTCTGAGGTGGTGTCAGGTCAGGTGGTTCAGTTCTTTGCTTCGCCCCCTGCCCCGTCCCCCAATCAGAATTAAAGATCAACATCCTGTATTCGAAATATAACAGACCTTTAGGTACATCAACTTTTGAACAACGCTAGATTGGCTATATCTGGGTCAATGTTTAACCGACTATACTTAGGAACCAACACTTGGAGAGACATTCTCACCTGTATCTGGCTCTTCAGTTTGCTCTCAACATCCTCCACGATTGTTGCCATTTTCTCAAGAATGCTTTGTTTTTGCTTTTTACATTCGTTCTCATTCTTCTCCAGCGCGTGGCTCAGGACCTGTAAAGGGACCATACTCTAAAAGGTGATGAACATGGCGGGTAGACTTTTCGGACACATGCCATTTCCCCTACCAGCAAAATTAATGATGTCACAACAGATAAAGGATATCATTACTATTTGGCGTATAACAAGTAAATCGTAAAAAGATTTTTTACTGACAGAGACGACACTGGCCTCAACAGAATATGAACTATCTGTTATAGGATAATGCCTTCTTTCTGTCACGTCATCCCGAGGGGGTGCAACATTTTTCGTTTCGTTAAGATTCCATTTTGCATTATGCAAATTTTAGAAATGTCCTGTCCAAGAACGGTAAGTAGGTAGATTCTACGTTTAGCGCCACTCTCAACGCTGTGAGATCATTACAGAGGCAGTTCCTCCGATTTCAACGCCAATTTTAGATAGCCACCAAACTTGGAGAAAAGCAGAGTCGTTAGAACGCGCTCATATGACCTTAGCAGTTGCGAGCGCCGTAAAACCCTATACTACATACAGAGTCGTTAGTAAACTCTTCATACAACCCACGTTCAAGAATATTCAGTGGACATTAAAACTAGGACAATGAGCGTTGTAGCCTTTTTTATCTTCTCCTCTTCCTACTTCTACGCCTCCATCCCCTCCTTCTATTTTTTATCTTCTCCTCTTCCTACTTCTACGCCTCCATCCCCTCCTTCTATTTTTTATCTTCTCCTCTTCCTACTTCTACCTCTCCATCCCCTCCTTCTATTTTTTATCTTCTCCTCTTCCTACTTCTA